TACTCTCCTTTTTCCTTATGTCTAATCTGTTGTAAGTAACATTATGAGTTTTCTTTAATCAAGTTGCAGTCTTGGAAAATACAAACTGTTTAAATGTACTAATATTTTTGTAGTATTTTATTATCTGTCGAAAGCCCATAACCAAAGAAAAGTAGCTACGGTTGATTAGCTTTTTATTTTTTTCCCTAAAATAAAATTAAATTAGGAGTTAATGGATAATACAAATAGTATATGCTACTAGCTAGCTTACTACATATCATTTTATTATTATTATTATTATTATTATTATTATTATTATTATTATTATTATTATTATTAACCATTTTTGTTCAAAACTGATCAAAGAAATTGTGGTCTCGTGAGAAGACTTGGAATATATATATATATATATATATATATAATAGTCAAAAAAAGCAAATATGTGACATTGTCAAAATAAATACATGATAGAATAATTAGTTGGACTAAAATTACGCGCGGTGTTTTGGTATTCGAATTAACAATATAGCAAATATGTATTATTGGCTTTTCTACAACTACAACTAAGGATTATTTAGTATTTACACTTAGCTTCGTAAGTTTTTTTAATTCATACTTATCATTTTTAGTTGTTTATTTCACATATATCATTGACCACACCTAATTATTTTTATATATCAATGAATGTTCATAATTATTGGCACTATTTGATCTGCACGTTTGACTTGTGCCGTTCAAAAAATTGACTACAAGTTCATCAACAGTCTTCATCTATTTATTATAGAATGAAAATAAAACCAATATTCCTAATTGATTTATATTATGAATGTACTGCTTAAATTAATGCACACTAATTAATTCACCTTAATTAATTAATACTAGTACTAGTTATTGATTAAATGTTTAGAAATACTAGTAATAAATTTGTTATTCCTTATAATACTCTTTTCATGGTTATATTTTCATAATTATAAACTATTCTTCCTCAAAATTTATTTTCCATTATTATATGATGACTAGTAAAGTGCACGTGCGATGCACGTAGTAACGAATGATTTTAGCTGAGTAATTTTATATTTCTCATGAGCCAACTTCAATTGATATTGGACAATAAGTAATTTTATCACTAATTTTACTTTTGGATTTAATACGAATTATAAGCTTTCTCATCATTCTCATCCCTTATTTAGTTATTATAATACCAATAAAATAATTGGGGACCTTTCAAAGTATCTTGTTTGTTTTGAAAACAAAAATTACTATCATAAATTAAATGACAATGTTATTAAATATGTTATATTTTCTCTCATATCAAAATTTTCATAATAATTAACTGCACACAATTTTATATATAATTAGACATGTTCAAAGGTCAGGCCGGTTCATGACCCTACCCGTCCCGCTGGCTTGACGTGCCTCAAATGATGGGTCGAAACCCGCTCGGCTATCTATGGG